ATTTATTGTTTATATTATATTTAATGGTGGATTGTTAGCAGTTTTATAAAACTTACAACTTTTAGAAATAAAAATTATAGATTTCTTTGTAATGTTTAAAAAATTAAAAGAGGCTTTATGGTTGTGAAAAAGATAAAGATTCTACACAAAGATGAGAAAGAAAAGAAAGCAGTGGAAGAAAAGACAACAAAAGAAAGGAAAATGAAAGAAAAAAGCCTTGCAGAAAATTCATAAATGTTTCGAGTGTATAAAAAAGTTTAAAAATCTTAATTTCGGTTTAAATCTATATAAATGAATACATGAATAGAGAACAGCAGTATTAGATCCAGATTAAGATTATTCAAAATTCAAATTTAATCGTTTGCGAAGCATTAAACGCTTATATGAAGAATTCTAATGGAACATTTTGGAGTTAGTGGCAGCCAGGGAGTTAGAAATACATTTAATTTATAGTTAGAGGCATTCATGGAGTTAGGAATACATTTGATATTAGTTGGACTTGGGGGCATTCATGGAGTTAGAAAAACATACAATTTTAGTTAGAAGAGAAGAGAAATTAAAGATATATTATCTATTCTTCATCAAACAAAGCTATTCCTGGTACCGTCTTTAATGAGTCATGCCACTACGGAAATGAAAAGCCCTTTTAAGTGAGAAACATGGCTCCTATGTTCGTAATGTAATTTATTTAAACCCTATACTCCTTTGAGGAGGGAGGGGGGGGGGGGAGGGGAATCAAGGAAATATAAGACTTGGCTAGAGTGAGGATATAAACTTCATTATATAATGTCTAGTAATCGTTGTTGTTCATTCAGGGATACAGGGATACAGGTATACAGGGAAACAGGGATACAGGGATACAGGGATACAGGAATACATGGATACATGGATACAGGGATACAGGGATACAGGGATACAGGGATACAGGTATACAGGGATACAGGGATACAGGGATACAGGAATACTGGAATACTGGGATACAGGGCTATAGAGGATACATGGATACAGGGATACAGGGATACAGGGATACAGGGATACAGGTATACAGGGATACAGGGATACAGGGATACAGGAATACTGGAATACTGGGATACAGGGCTATAGAGAATATAAGGATCTAGGGATACATCAATACAGAAATACAGGAAAACATGGATACAGTGATACAGATAATATAAGGATACTAGCTGAGAATACAATGGATAGACCGTGGATTTCCTTGTTCAGTGTTGACGATGAGAAAACTTTTGCTAATACATACATATTAACATAAAAACAAGATTTAACTAAAACACACAAAATCTGTGCAATGTTTAAAAAAAGAAGAAGAAGCAGTTGAAGGAGAAGGAGAAGAAGAAGAAGAAGAAGAAGAAAAAGAAGAAGAAGAAGAAGAAGAACATTAACAACAACAACAACAGCAGCAACAACAACACCAACAACAACAACAACTACAACAAGAACAAGAAGAACAACAAGAACAAGAAGAATAAGAACAAGAATAACAAGAACAAGAAGAAGAATAACAACAACAACAAGAAGAACAAGAACACGAAGGACAATAACAAAAAGAACAAGAAGAAAGAAAAAGTTCAACAAGATTAATGATTTGAATGTAAAACAACACTGAACAGATTAGTAGGTATTTTGTTTTGGTTACTAGTAAACAGACGTAGGATTAACCTTTATATTACACTATTACATAGGATTAACCTATATATTACACTATTACATAGTATTAACCTATATATTACACTATTACATAGGATTAACCTATATATTACACTATTACTGCATAGTTTAGTAAATGCAAGGATAGCGTGATGATAAAAAGTAAATAAAAATCCCACATTTAAAAATTATAAGAATAAAGTAGTAATAGAATGATAATCGAAATGCTGTCCAAACATTGACTATTTGCCTAAAATTGGCGATTAATGATTAAATTATAAAAAAAATGTGTATTGCATAAGCAACGGTAACCGATGTTTGATAAGTGTGTTAGACTGATATATTTCTTATCAAGTTATGGTTTTTGTTTCTATTTTCTCCGTGGTAAAAACCATCTCATCCAACTAGTCTCTACTCTCTACAAAGCCTCCATTTATCTATTTTTCTTTCTTTCTTTTATCTATTTTCATATACATAATATGTTAGCTGTGCAATGTATATAAAAATGTATTTTTGTATGTCCAAAATGTATGTTTGTATGTCCAAAATGTATTTTTGTATGTCCAAAATGTATGTTTGTATGTCCAAAATGTATGTTTGTATGTCCAAAATGAGTATTATCAATATTTATCCTTTATGTGCGTCAAGATTACTACTGAGTGTCACCTCATAAGTGCAATATGAATGTTGATAAAGATTGCTAGCTTATATGAATGGCACCATTCTTTTTATTTTATATGAATCTTCAATATAAATTTTTGTTATTAATAAATATCCACTCTTAAATACAATCTTACAATGCTATTCATTCATTTTTCTCTGAATAGTGTCATGTGCATATGCATGACGATATAAATTAGTTAAGAAAAGAGGACTTGTTTCAAATTAGTTTTAATTACACCATGCATGCAAAATTCATGGAAAAACAGCATCTGTTTAAAATTTCCCTTGGAAATATTTCTTCCCCTTTTTCGTAACGTAACTTAAAAACCGGAAGTAAAAATCATACATTTCCGGAACTATAAGGGGTTAAGGATAATTAAGATGCTTCAAAATATGTTTTTAAAGAAATGCAATTCTGAAAACTCATAAACTGCACCACGTGCATTTTAAAAATATATTGTATGCATTTATGTTTTCTAAAAACTACTTGGTAAAAACTACAAATTCTTTACTATTAAAGGGACTGTACGCGTAATTACAAGTGACCCTCCATGCAAAGATGACAATACCTGATTTACAACAGTATCCTTGAAACCTTTATCTGATCAATATTACGGAATATATCTGATCAATATTACGGAATATATCTAATCAATGTTACGGAATATATCTGATCCATATTACGGAATATATCTGATCAATATTACGGAATATATCTGATCAATATTATGGAATATATCCGATCAATATTATGGAATATATTTGATCAATATTATGGAATATATCTGATCAATATAATAATATATTGAGTCTTTGCCACAAACTCAAATTTTCAAATCCCTTTATATTTGCAACCCGATCTTATAAACCTTTGATTTTTTTGATTATTTAACAGAATTTATAGTTTAAAATATCTAAGGCATGCAAAATTGGGTTGCAAAGATATAGGAATTAGAAAATCAGAATCAAATACTCAAATCCTTCCTTTCTCATTTTCAGATTTTAAAATTGAACGACATTTTTATCCTGCACATGTAGGCATAATTGACACAGTGTATGTATGTGGGCCAGAAAAGAGTGTAAAAACATGCTTACAGATAGATAAATAGATAGATGGACAGACAGATAGATAGATAGATAATTAGATAGATAGATAGATAGATAGATAGATAGATAGATAGATAGATAGATAGATAGATAGATAGAAATATAGAAAGATATATAGAAAAGATAGATGTATAGATAAATAGATAGATCGATAGATATATAGATAGACAGACAGATAGATAGATAGATAGATAAAAATTAAAATAGATGGATACTGGATAGATAGATAGATTTGCAGAAACACTACGGGTCTGCAAAATAAATACAGTTTTCAACATACTAGATAAAAATTAAACTTAAGAATTTTGTTTGGAAATCATTCAAATTGAACTTTAATCCCTCAACAACTCAACATGGGGTGTATAGGGTTAACGTATAGTGTAAAGTGTAGAGTATAGGGAGTGTATATTGTATAGTGTAGAGTACAGGGAGTGTAAAGTGTAGAGTACAGGGAGAGTATAGTGTATAGTGTAGAGTACAGGGAGTGTATAGTGTATAGTGTAGAGTACAGGGAGTGTATAGTGTATAGCGTAGAGTACAGGGAGTGTATAGTGTATAGTGTAGAGAACAGGGAGTGTAAAGTGTAGAGTACAGGGAGTGTATAGTGTATAGTGTAGAGTACAGGGAGAGTATAGTGTATAGTGTAGAGTACAGGGAGTGTATAGTGTATAGTGTAGGGTACAGGGAGTTGTTGTATTGTGTATAGTGTGTGGTGTAAGGTACAGGGAGTTGTTGTATAGTGTATAGTGTATAGTGTAGAGTACAGGGAGAGTATAGTGTATACTGTATAGTGTAGAGTACAGGGAGTTGTTGTACAGTGTATAGTGTATGGTGTAGGGTACAGGGAGTTGTTTTATAGTGTATAGTGTATAGTGTAGGGTACAGGGAGTGTATAGTGTACAGTGTAGAGTACAGGGAGTTGTTAAAAATGTTGTTACTTTTTTCTTCACAAATTTGAAGCGAAGAAATTGTTTCTTCATAAATTCTTGAAATCTTTCACAAAAATGGAGATTCCCCCTTGCCCCTAGACTGCAGCCCGACTTGCAAAAATAAGAAGTGCAAACTCCCCCCCCCCCCTCTCGAGACTTGTGCAGAAAGTCTGGTGGCCTAGATTTTGCCTGTCAGCTGATTGTTTGCAAGAAAATTCGCAATTTCATCTTCTTATAAAGAAACTGTATACATTGCATGCAGAGCAGTACATTGTACAATATATGAACAGTTTATGTACAATATATGTTCAATATATGTACAATATTAGTAAAATATATAGACAATAGTTGTACAAAATATGGTCAATAGTTGTACAATATATGTAGAGTTTATGTACAATATATGTACAATAGTTGTACAAGAAATGTAAAATATATGTACAAGAAATGTAAAATATATGTACAATAGATGTACAATATATATGTACAATACAAGTAAAACAGATGGTACCAAGTATGTAGCCATTGTAAATATCTAATGTACTGTCGAAAAACAGAGAGAAAATATGAGATGGATGATAAGATGTAAATAGAAGTTTCATCAGATCGTAAAATATATTTTTTTTAACTCACCATCTCTCGACATCCCTAGTGCCAAACATTTCTGTAATCTGCAGAACTGACATCTTAACAAAAGGTATGATTAGAAATTAGAATACTGAATTGCACATGAATATGAAAATATTTTGTTGATCAGCTGACAATCAATTTGACGATGAAAAAAAGTTTTAAATGGGGAAAAGTGGACAAAATTTAGTTTTAAAAAATTTACATAAAATGAGAGACATTGTATAAAAAAAATTATAATAAAATTGGTTTAAATGAAAACTTTTGATAATAATTTATATTTAGTGAGAACCAGAAAACTCGGGAATTGTATGACGACATTAAGACTCAATTCAAGACTTTGAATAGTCTAATGAACAAGATACAAAACAATGGTGCAGCGCAGTAAACAATCCCATTTATTGTTTTATTGTCGTTTTCCAATTCCACAGTTTTCTGGTTCTCACTGTAAGTGATATATTGATGGAATTGAGATTCAAAAATAAGATTTGCCAAGTAAAATGTAAAATACATTGAAAAGATTATAAATATAAAAATTAAGTAAGCTATTTTTTAAGAATAAAATCTAAGACATTTTTTGAATAAAAATCAAGATATATTGATATACCTGTTCCTATTAACCCTGTCGACTACACAATTCTTCTGCCTGGGGCATTGGTAATTGGTAACTGTACTCTGGGACCGACGAAAAAATCCCTGAAATGAATAAATTATACAAAACTAGAAATGATTAGTGCCAGAAAGCTGGAGCATGAAAACAGCTACTTTTTCGTAATAAAAAGCTGAATGAGCTTCTCTGGAATTTTCCAGAATACGAGATTGAAGACATAGAAACTTACATATTAAAGAGAAACTTCGCGTGATTCAATAGACCCTTTATTTTTTAAAAAGTTTTGTCCTTTAATCTTTATTTAATTAATATTGGCATTTTTCTATTTTTAAAAAGATCAGTTCTGTTTTTCTTTTTATCACTTTTATGGAGTACCCCCTCACCCCCTCCTTACCTTATTCATGATTTATCATCATTGTTTTGTTTAAAATGTACACTGTACAGTGTGTACATCCATCTATTTATTTACAATTCTTATTCGATTATAATGGGGCAACCAATCAAAACAACCAACTCTGGTTAGGCGGGTCCTAGTAAATTGTGATTTGTTATTTGTATTATCTCGTGCTTTGTAGTTGAATAAAAATATGAAATGATGATGAGGAACAACAATTGAAAATCTTTAATTTTCTGAAGAAAAAACAATGATAATTATTTCATTTTTTCTAAAACAAAGGTTTCAAGAGTATCGTCGAATCTTTAAAGGCGAATAGGTCCAATGAAATTACGTCTTTGATATAAACTTTGTTCTGAACGTATTTTGATAAAAGAAAAAACCCTTAAACATCATGAAAGGATAAAACTTAAATCTTAAAAATTAAAAACTTGTTAAAACGTTTAATTACAAAACAAGGGTTTTGGTCATAACTTAATAACAATACAGATAGAACACTAGATGTCGTCAATTCAAGATTTAGAGTGTTTTGTTTACAATAACCCTGAGACAGAAGCCCAAAGTAGCATGCGCGTAATCTGCCTCAGGATTATTGTGAACGAAAAACCCTTAAATCTTGAAAAGACGACATAAAGTGTTCTATCTGTATTGTTATTAATCTATGGGTTAAGTGGAATCATCACGTCATCATGAAGTTTCATATTTTTGCAATAATTTTTTTAATATTCTAGCTTAGAAAATAAATAAGGTTTTATCTGGGTCCGATGTCAAAATTCGCGTACTAGTCCTTTAAAAGTAGTAAATGTTTGCTAAATTTGCTGTATATTGTATCCTGGTATACGGTATACCCTCATAAATATCCTTTAACATACTGGTTTCATTTATATACACATATACACAGGATAATAAAAATTCTATTAACAAAATAAATAATAAATCTAGCAAACAAATATTTTTAATTATTATTTTAGACTAATACTGAATACTATGTATATCTGCATATTTACGGTGCAATGGTTAATGAGAACTTTTTAAATTTAATTGGGGACTTGCAAACTTATGCAGAAGAAACAAGGAAGAATACTAACAAAACTGATCGTTTTCAAAAGAGAAAACCGACGATATCTCATTAGGATATCATTGTGAATCGACAGTTCCTTAAATCTTATTTCAAAATACTAATTAAAATTGTAAAGATAAATACTTGAGAATTTTTTTCTTTTCCATTAACACAAATTAAAATATTCAAAAACTTTTATGTTTCTTTAAAATGAAATGCTAAAAAATTTCGCTTTTGTTGTTGGGGGTGGGGGGAATATTTTTTACCTTGCATCCTTCGCATGTGATAACTCCATAATGAACTCCACTTGACTTATCACTACACACTTTGCACGGGATTGCCTCAATCTGAGCTGAAAATAAAATTAAAATTAATTCAATTTAAAAACTTGATTAATCATTTTTAGTTTACATTCATTGATTCGTTTCCCATTCTTGGATGATTAGCCTTTAAAGATCTGTATCTGTATCTGTATCTGTATCTGTATCTGTATCTGTATCTGTATCTGTATCTGTATCTGTATCTGTATCTGTATCTGTATCTGTATCATATGTTTTGTAAAACATAACAGTAAAATCTGAAAAGTAGTGAAAATATAGGTCAGACTTGTAGATAGATAGATAGATAGATAGATTTACTTCAGTAAATTAATTGTTTTAATGACTGCCTAATTACAGAAAGCGGGCTAATTATGATTTTTAAAGCAACGGTTCATGACAGGTTTATATTCAGAGGAAAGCAGTTCAATTAAACTATTAAACTTATGATTCAAACATTTTATAAAAAAATTTCACATTTTTAAAAACTTTTTATTATTATTTAAAAGAAGTTTTACTGTAATCAGTATTCAATTCAAACGGTAAAAATGTGAAAAAATTTTAAACATTTGAATGTTTAATTTTTAATGAATAATAAACTTTTATGTATGGAACATGTTTAATGTTTTATATTTATATTTTATTTTATAATTATATAAAACATTTTTTTGGCAAAAGCTTTGACACCATGCAACATATTTTTCAACGTATTGTATTAAACCAGGATATGTAGCAAGAGTGATAGACAGAAAACTGGAGAATAAGAAGACGACATTAAAGCAATACTGAAGTGCAATTGAAGTTATGATCGGCTTCCTATGCCAGAGTTTTCTGGTCATCACTGTACAAATAATTATCAAGCCAATCTACCCAGTATTTTATTTTTTTGTTGTCTTGGTAAGTACTATACAGTTAGAATTTTAGGCATTTATTCAGTTTCTTTGAAAATTCACAAATCGAGTAATTTGATTTTTTAAAAATCTTTTCAAATTGTTCAAATTTTTTCGGTACTTTTATAAAATCACAATAAACTTAACAAAGTTTAATCAAAAGTTTTTTTAATTGTTAATTTTAACTTATTAAAACTAACTTCATGGAAGATATTATATTAAAATGGAATGAAGAAGAAAAATATTTTTGAAGACCAAATTATCTATTTTCTTATCGTGGGTTATTTTTACCAAAATTTGTACATTTTCTTTTTAAATGATTCAATTTTCCAATAATGATTATTGTGCTTTCTGAAGTCCATTCAAGAAACCCACATTTTTGCTTATCAAAAAATATGGATGGGGGTGGGGGGGGGGGGGGTTATTGCAATAATTTCATATAGAATTCCAATTTAATTATGTTTTTACCATTTGTATCTGTCTCCTGTATGTTTGAATCAATCTATTTGAAACAGGAAAAACTTGTTTTTTTATAAACTTTCAGCCGAAATTGAACTCATTAATGACAACAAAAGAAAAAAGTTGATAAATGCTGAAATTTAAAAGTATTCACATGTTTCGCCATTCCTTTTCTTCTTTTAGCTTTAATATTATCCCGTGCGCCACAAGACAAGACATTTTTTGGGGGTAAAATCGCAGTTTTAAGTTTTAAGTTTTCTCTGTAAAAGGACAAAAATAAACTTTATTGTCCGTTAAAAAACCCAGAATCACAATGTTTAGTATTATTCAAAAAAAAGGTTTTAAAAAAACTTCACTGTTAAAAAAAATAATATTTTTATTTCTTTCCGTTTTCTTAAACAAAATCCAACTGTACACAAGTGAAAGTTAGATAAAAACGCGCGGCCGGTTTTGCGCGCGGGAGCCGCGGCAACCGTTCGCCTCAACTCAAACAGATACTTTTCTCCGCGCTTACATCTTACGATATAAAAACCGTTAAATTGGACAGTTCAGTTTCCTATCAGGTTATCAGTATCACCCGTTTACTTTGGAAAAAAGTCTACAAATTTTTGTAACTTTTCTCCTACAAATGATATCCTATATGTTAAGAAGAGGGGCGGGTTTCTAAATAAAAAGATGCCTGCAGCCAAACTTTTACTTTGAGCACACATATATTTTTCCTCTCTAATTTGTATTCTTAGAAAAGAATAAGTTCTTTTCGGGGAAAAATTCTACTGTTTCCCTAAAATTATCTGCTTCAATCCCCCACCTCCTCTTACCCCTATGATATTAATGATATTAATGATAATAATAAAACTAATTATTTTCTTCTAGGTATTTTCTCCCTTTTTTAATCATGACTAATAATCTCATTCTGTCTAATTCAGTGTGTGTTACATTTATCTTATATTTCACTTGCTTGGGAACACAGCTTTGCTTGGAAACTAAAAATTCCCTCTAAAAATCAACCCACTTACTTTAAAATCTTTAAACCAAGCTAAGAACAAAAATATATACTAACTAAAATAAAAGAATAAATTCTGACAAAAATGACAACAATAAAAAACAGCTGTGAAATCTGTAAACCCAGCACTACATAAAAAAGGACAGGTGCTTAATAATGATAACAGGTAATTAATGAATTAATGGTAATGCTTAGGCAATGGCAATCAAGGGTTTCACTTCAAACCTGGACCGGTCTTAATAGTTGATGAATGAGTAGATGAATGAATATAAGAAAGGGCAAATAGACGAATGGATGAATTAAGGATGAAAAATTGATAAGGAAAGATTTAATAAGGACAGGATACAATTATGGATAAAAAAATGAAAAAAATTAATGAATTTATGAATGTCTAGACAGACAGATGAATTCTAGGCTTTGTACAATCTGTCTATCCACGTAAAGTTAAACTTCACTTCTGCTTCAGGGGATTTATAAAAATTTAATTTTTAAAAGATTCTTTCCAAAATAAATCATTTTAGTTTTTGTGTTATTTTATTGGCTTAAGTTGGATCTATAACCAGGACAGAGTTTTAAAAGAGAAGTCAGCCCTGGTTCTCAGTATTTTATTTACATATTGTATTTAATCCTATAACTTGATTACATCAAAGTCAACCATGATCAAATCGAAGAGTCATATCACCAATCTATTCATTTGTTCATAAAGGGAGTTTTTGGGAAACTCCGAATCGTAATTTGGGACTTTTTCATGCAGTAGAAACTACAAATTGTATTTTAAATTTTTTTATGTACAAAATAGGAAGAGCTCAAGTAGTTTCTTTAAAAATTTGGCCATAAAATTTAAGATGCAAAATGTTGCATGCATAAAATTGTATTTCTATTCAATATTGATTAACTTTTTGTTTGGTCCATCACCATCACCGAATTTTAAACAGAAAACATGTCCGAATCTTTTTCGGGAAGGGAGGGAGGGAGTTCTAACAAATTCTACCTTTGGCGGTAAAAACAGTCTTTTTCTGTGACGAGCTGGAAGACGATGTGGAGCGCGGCGTTTCCGGAGATACAAGAGAGGTGGTATCAGCACCTTGGGAGATAGGAGATATGGAGATATGAAGACCATGTGACGGAGATAAACTAGAGAAGGATCCGGGTATACTCAGAACAGGGGGGTAGTTTCCGTCCCCCATCTCCGTGTGCAGGGGAACCTTGATGGTTGTGAGGGTAGTGTTGGAGTCTAGTTCACCGGAGGACCCGGAGTAAATGGACGGAGGACCGAAGTTGAGTGGATCGGAGCTGAGAAGGAGTTCGTGATCCTTCCCCTCCCCCAGCATACTGCTCACGCTGCACCCGAAGCTGTCCCCGAAGAGGTCACCGAGCATCTCAATCTTGACCTCGACCTTGTCCTCGTCCTCCTTCTCCTGGTCCAGCTCCAGCTTGACGTAGCCCGGTGGGGAGCTGCTGTCGACTGATCCGAGAGGTTCCATCTTTGCTCCCATCAATGGGTTCACCATTCTCAACCCAACACTGAGCGATGAAGCAACCGTTATAAAAATATTCTTGAAACAAAACTATTTTCGGCCATTTATCCCCCCAAAAAATGTTAAATGTTGAAAATGAATAGAAAAATCAATCATGGTTTGAAATTAGATTAGAAATATGTACATTATATTGACAATTTCTTTTTATAAATGTATATTTTAGAAATTGGGTTTTCAAACCCACAAACTCATTAATTTACCGTTCACCAAATAGAGTGCGTGATCTTAGTTAAACATTGAGTCAGATATAGCAAGTGGTGCAATGTAAAGTACAAAATAGGGAATTCATGTCGTCTTCTATATTATAAAGTACAAATTCTCAAATAAGATTGCGGATTACGATTTGTCTTCTATTTCATAAAGTNCTCTAATAAGATTGAGGATCACGATTTGTCTTATATTTTATAAAGTACAAATTCTTAAATAAGATTGCGGATCAAGATTTGTCTTCTATTTTATAAAGTACAAATTCTCAAATAAGGTTACGGATCACGATTTGTCTTCTTTATTTTATAAAGTAAAAATTCTTGAATAAGATTGCGGATCAAGATTTGTCTTCTAGTTTATAAAGTACAAATTCTCAACAAAGATTACGGATCACGATTTGTACTTAGATCAGTTTTTTTCAATGATAATCAACTTTTGCTAAACTGAAAATTTAGCAGACTGACTAAAATATAAGATTTTTCTAAAAGTTTATAAAAAGTGCAAATTGATTAAGGAATAATTGATATTTGTATTAAATGAAAGACAACACGTGGGTTATCAAACCAAGATTAATAAGAAAGTCTAAATATTATAGTCGTCTTATTGCCTTAGGGTTTTACTACTGAATTAATCTCGATTTAGAAACATAATTTTAGTTTCTATTCATAAATTCATAAAATTCTCTGAACCTCGTAAATTCAATTTGTAAAAAGATATAAGTAATATCGTAACAATACTTTCATTTTAAGAGGTGTTATGCAAAAATAAAACAAAAATGTTTATTTAAAAAAAAGAACTTTTTCTTATCATCAAATAGAATAATTTTTGACTTTAGTTGTTTTAAACATTCCTAGCAGCCCTAATTTAGATCTTTAATCGTCTTCAGAACTTTTTTCTACAAATTTTTCGTCATGGCCGCCGAATCATGCTGATTCCTACTCCCGTAGTACTGGGAGACTTAAACGGTGTGAAGGTATGTTTTGTATAGCGGGGAGGGGTGTGTGGAGGGGGGGGGGTACAGGACACAGGCAGCTATCCAACTTTCACTTGCCAAGCACTAGCAAGCAGTAAATATACAGTTATACAGGCACTAACATAACACTTATACTCTTCAACATTAACAAAATGTGTTATTTCTCACTTGGAAGGATTACATTTTTCAATTCACATTTTCACTTTTTTTCGCGTTAATTGATTTTTTTTCTCAACCGAGTTTTTGATCACAATTTTTATTCTTTTTTTTAGTATCTCTATTCACTTAACTATCCTTTCTTTTTACTCTTCGCCCATATCTCGAAAATCGAAAAAATCCCCGAAATTAAGTTTAAGAAAATCGTCGAGAAAGCTGCGACAGTAATGAGTCCGGAGTCGGGTGAGTGGTAGGTTTCCTCTGCGGCAGACGTAGATGAACTGAATCACCTGGCAACACCAGGGTACAGTTACACACAACCTACAGCTACTCCACGGAGAAACTAACCATCAGAAAAGTACAACCATTCAACGTTCGCTTATGTACTCAACAAGAAAGCTATGTACATTATACAGTACACCCATGGCAATCTCTTTAGAGACCCTTATTTATGTTAGATGATAAAAAAAGCATTACAAAACTTTGGGAATTTTTTGCATACTCTTCCAACACTTTTTTCGGGGATTTCTGGAAAACTCTGAGTAAAGTCTTTCATCATTTTTTCATATTTCATCATGCTTGTAGTCTGTCTTTGTCCGTTGTTTTAACAGCAATACAGTTTTTACTTTTTTAAAAATATTTTGCAGAAAGTCACAAAAATATTGATCCAAAAACTCTATTCATTTAAATTCTGTTCATAAATGTTAGTTTTAGAATATTTAGTTGTTTATAAATATTCCAATTATTTTCTCGAATCCACAAACCAAAAAATTATCTAACCAACTTATATGTCTATATAATAAAACAAGACATTCGTATATATATGTTGCGTATAGCCAGCCAAACTGCTGGACCGATTGGGCGGAAATTTTTTGTGGACACTCATGGGTGGCTTAGGGGTGTTATAGGCTAAACAAATTGAAATATTTTTAAACAATGTTTTTAAAATTTATTTTTTGGGGGCTACGCCGGGCCCTTCAGCTAGTTATATCTATATATTTACAGTAAAACTTCAAATCATGTTTTGAATGCTTATTTTCTTATATCTATTTATAATTTTTATGAACTTATTTGTATACTTTTGAATGGGTTATTACTCGACCCTATTTGAATTTTGTGAGCTTATAAATCTAATGAATCATTATTTAGAATCTTTTTTTTATGAATCAAAGATATTAAAAATAGATATTGTTGACTTTCATATTATTTGCATCTCACTAAACTAGCATAAGGCATTCCTTTGAACTAAAGTACGTTGGAAAAAATGTTTTAAAATTCAGTTGAAAAAAATCTTAATATAAAACCGCAAGCAGAAAATGTTTAAAACTCAGCCGTTTTTGTTTTGGCCATAAACTAATTATGTCTTTCAAAAATAAAAGGGATTTTTATTAACATTTTTCTAAGTAAAAAAAAAAGAACTTTTTAGATTTTCAATAACGTTTTATCTTTATCGCTCATATGTATATTTATATTGGCTATAGCTGGCAAGACGACTGGACCAAATTGGCTGTAATTTTTTTTGAGGAAACACATGGCTACCTTGGGGGTAACTTAGGCTAAATCGATTTTTTTAAAATTAAAAATTTTAGTTTTAAAATTTTTTTTAGTTCTTCGGTCAACGCCGGTCACTTCAGTCATTTAATCCAAAACACAGAACTTTCTTAATCGAAAAATTATGTTAATCCCTTTATGTTTGATAAGGATGTTTTTGTAAAGAAAATGGCGTTACATGTTCAGAAGAAATTACAAAAAGAGGAGGAAAATCAACTTTTTGCCGGGCTAAATAAACTAGGCTCAACTTATCTTTTGATTTAAATAAATATTAGAAATTAAGCAGTTCAACTTTTTAAAATGTACTCCAGATGTATTTTTGTACACTATTGGACTGTCAACATTACGGTGACTTTACGACCTCGTGTCGCCTCTAGTTTTTATTTTAACATCCAAGATTAAATTTACTATACTCATAGTAAATATTGTAATAGATTTTGTATAAGATTCGTAGTATTAAACAGATCATATTCAACAAATACGCAAACAATCTGAAAACATCGATATCGCAGATGAGCCTGAGAAACTCAAGTTTGCTACTATTATTATTATTATTTAACAATTTTTCATTCTATTATTGATAATATTATTTAGGCGTCCGGAACATGTCACCAGAACTCCAACCAATGGCAGTGCAGTATTGTTGTCACGTGTCTCCGTATGTATTACGTGGCCAGTATACTGCACTGCCATTGGAGAGAGTTCTGGTCACGTGATACGGACGTATATCTTACATATATTCGTTTTGGTATAATTTTGACACAGTTTGATGTCAATTTCTCGAGACAGGAACATCAGATTAATGTCTTATAGGTATCGTTCAACTCCTGAGATTCTCAGGTTTCAGCCTATACCCCCTTTCATTTTTCCTTTACAGTCCCTTTAATAAGAGTTATGATTGGATAGAGTGTAATATTTCAATCTAAAATGAAAGGAACGAGTTCTTGCCACCACTTCAAACGCTTCTATCTTATTTCTTTGCAAACTAATGGTGTACGCTTTTGATATTTCAAACAGACTATTTGATCTAACGGTATTAACAGTTTGAAACTACAAAGATTTATGGATTAGAAAATTGGAGTTTGTGACAAAAACTCAACTCCTTTACTTTAAATTGGTTTGGCTTGTTTCAAATCTTAAAGATCTGTAATCCGTTTTCATCTTCTCTTTAGACCATGAGCTGATAATCATAACAATGTATGTATTAAATAACTATGCCCCCCCCCCTTTGAAATTCTAAACAGATGTTGGTCCGATTGCTCAACCCATCCCATTTCTACAGAAAAGTGTCTTCTGCACAATAATATTTTCTCTCCGAAAGTTGTCACAAACACAGAATAACGATATATCAAGATATAAAAGCTTACAGTAAAATGAAAGAAGAGATATAGAAAGATGAGAATAAAGAAGAAGAAAGGGGAAAGGTGGAGAAGTTAGCATCAAAATAGAAGAATTAAGAGAATACGAAAAGGAGCTAAAAGAAAAGCGAAGAAAGATTAGATAAAGAGGAATAGTAGATGTAATAGGAGAAGAGGAGAAGGATTCTTTAAAGAGGAATAGCAGATGGAATAGGAGAAGAGGAGAAGGATTCTTTAAAGAGGCATAGCAGATGGAATAGGAGAAGAGGAGAAGGTTTCTTTAAAGAGGAATAGCAGATGGAATAGGAGAAGAGAAGAAGGATTCTTTAAAGAGGAATAGCAGTTGGAATAGTAGAAGAGAAGAAATATTGATAAAGAGGAATAAAAGAATGAAAGGAGAAGAGGAGAAAAATCGGACATTGCCATCATTGCTCAGAGGATCAAAAGAAATTACGCTTATAGTCCCTTAAAAAAAGTAAAAATATAAAGGTTGCCTGAAGGATTCTTACTGTAAAACTGTTAATGAACAGTTTCCTTTACCGCTAAACAACTAAAAGAAAACATAAAGCAAACAAAGGAGAAACATTGATTAAAGAAGAGTTGGGAGAAAGAAATAGAACGAATTGGAATTTCTTTTGAGATTGTCTAGACGTTAGTGCTAAAAATGGCCAAATTTTATTCATTGCAACCAAGCCCATTTCTTTGAGATTAATTTATGCAGCATATGCATCTATTATATTGGGAGGAGTTTTAAATCAAAATCTGCTTCTCAATGTATTTAATTTTGTTTTTTTGTCTTTTTTCTCATTTCCATTTATTGTCTTTTGTCTGTTAATTGTTTTCTTTTTCTTTTTTATATTTGCTGTCTTTTGTCTGTAAATTTTTTTTCTTTTTCTTTTTTATATTTGCTGTCTTTTGTCTGTAAATTGTTTTCTTTTTCTTTTTTTTATTTGCTGTCTTTTATCTGTAAATTGTTTTCTTTTTCTTATTCATATTTACCGTCTTTTGTCTGTAAATTGTTGTCAGTTTTCTTATTCATATTTACCGTCTTTTGTCTGTAAATTGTTGTCAGTTTTCTTCTTTATATTTGCTGTCTTTTGTCGGATATTGTTTTCTTTTTCTTTTTTATATTTGCTGTCTTTTGTCTGTAAATTGTTTTCTTTTTCTTTTTTTATATTTGCTGTCTTTTGTCTGTAAATTGTTTTCTTTTTTCTTTTTTTTATTTGCTGTCTTTTGTCTGTAAATTGTTGTCAGTTTTCTTATTCATATTTACCGTCTTTTGTCTGTAAATTGTTGTCAGTTTTCTTATTTATATCTGCTGTCTTTTGTCTGTTAATTGTTGTCAGTTTTCTGAATTCTTATGTTGTCTTTTGTCTGTCAATTGTTGTCCTTTTTGCTTTCTATCTGTTGTCTTTTGTTAGTTGAAATATTTGTATTCAAGGCTTCTAAAAGTATAAGTTGGGCCACAAATCAAAGCTAAAAGGCTTGGCGATACTTTAAAGTTGGTTCAGTCTCAATATTTGATCCATCATATTGAAAACTATGTATTTTGTTGCTCACCCTGTCTTCAAGTTTTACTGTTTGGAGAAATGAAAATGTGAAATTTTTGTAAAAAAGTGTCTCTGTAGTCTGTAGGTAAATATTTTCTTACTTAGACAAAAAGTGAGGGCAGTGTACTCTTAACATTTGCATTGTAATCCTCTTCAGCAATCAGTGTTTACACTTTAACATCTTATACTCCCACTTATGTACAGTTTACAGTGTACAGATATAGTTTACATTGTACAGGTACAGTTTACATTGTACAGGTACAGTTCACATTGTACAGTGTGCAGTTTACATTGTACAGTGTGCAGTTTACATTGTACAGGTACAGTTTGCATTGTACATACAGAAGCTTACAGTAAAATGAAANAATATGTACAGTTTACAGTGTACAGATATAGTTTACATTGTACAGGTACAGTTTACATTGTACAGGTACAGTTAACATTGTACAGTGTGCAGTTTACATTGTACAGTGTGCAGTTTACATTGTACAGGTACAGTTCACATTGTACAGTGTGCAGCTTACATTGTACAGTGTGCAGTTTACATTGTACATGTACAGTTAACATTGTACAGGTACAGTTAACATTTTACAGGTACAGTTCACATTGTACAGGTACAGTTCACATTGTACAGGTACAGTTCACATTGTACAGGTACAGTTCACATTGTACATGTACAGTTCACATTGTACAGGTACAGTTCACATTGTACAGGTACAGTTCACATTGTAAGGTACAGTTTATATTGTACTATGTGTAGTTCATATTGTACAGTTCACATTATACAGTGTGCAATGTGTTGATCACATTGTACAGTATTTACTGTGCATCTCACATGTTAAATAGAACCAAGCGAACCTCCCCAATATTTCTCCCTAAATTTTGATAACTGCGGATGAGTTCAAAGGAA